CCCTACGTCGCCTTGAAACCTATTGATCATAAAGGATATTTGAGCTAGCTCCATAGTAGCCAATAGCAACCCTGCTCATGCAATATAGACACCATGAGCATTTCTGACACATTAGGTTGTCCTGGGCCTTCTGCATTTCTAATTTAGTGTAGGTCGGGTAGGTAATTTATTTACCAAATGGCTCTGTTTGAGATGGCGAGCTTTGGTATCTGTCCATGCCTCTTGGAATGTGCCCCAGCTTGACTCCCCCACTAGTCCATTAGTCTCAGCAGCTGACAGAAGTAACCAGTTCCAAAAGACCGAGAGAGGCCAACTTTTGTGTTTGAAATGGACATTCTGTCTTTGCCGCTTGGACTAAAGTATCCCTGTGTGCCTTGTAGCTCATTGCCATTAATGGCTATTATCTTAGCTGGATTTTCACTTTCCTCTGCTGCTCTTCAGAACAGTGCTACTATGTTTGTCAAATTTACTGGCATTCAGTGGCTGTGTAGACTTTGACCTCCCATCTTAATGATGCTCAATATTAGTCCCCTGCTTGAGGTATCATTTCATAGTCAAGTCATAAAAAAAGACTGAGAATGGACAGGCGCCCAACCTCCCTTTCATCTTAACCTTGCCAAGGTTATTTCTTTGTCTTTATTATGCCCCTGTACTGGGCAACTGTAGGCAGCAGGATGCTTGCTGTTGATTTTATATCTATTCCAGCTTCTGTGCTGTAGACCCAGCTTGTGAATTCTAATCACTATCGTAGTGATCATGTCTGAAATATACATAGTGTCTTTCTTCCAGAATGATCCAAAGTGTTTTACAAACAGATTTATTATAAAAACTATACACACAGGGTGAAGTTCACCCATGGGCAGAGAACAGATACAATGCCATTGCTTCACTTCAGTGTATTGTCAGCGCTTATGTGGGACTTTAGTGGAACAGAGGCCTTATGGGGTAAATGTCATCCCTAGCAAATAGAAAAATAACATTTACACCATGGGAAGAACTTGTGAAAAAAATTACATTCATTTGGCCTCAGCGTTTGCATGGTTTTCCCACAAAACCCAGAAGGGCAGTTTTCTCAGGTGACATTCACTCTCATCCTGATTTTCCTATGAAGAAAGCAATTTTTCATCTGGATCAAACTTGTGAAAATTGGTGATAAGTTTCAGGATAGAATTTCTCTAAATCCCTCCCCCTCCACACACACGGGAAATGGCAGAAAATATAATCCCTTGATCAAATCTGTGAATTCTCCTAAAAAACCCAACCCCTCACAGGTGTTACAGTGCACTGAAGGTGAAAAAGCCAGCAGCAGAACAGTGCCCTGCACTCTGAGTGAACCTATTAAGAGAGTTGGGGTAAATTTTTCAGCTTGATCTTACCCGAACATCTGTTTTGTGCATGCACAGATGAGAGTGGTTACAGCATTTCACTTGCGAAGTGAGACGCCAGCGTCTGAGAATCTGGCCCTTAAATTTAAAACATCACTTCTTCACTGGGATAATTGGCATCAACTGGTCCTGTCGTCGTCTGTCTAAGCAAAGAAGCCAAAGACTGCATGGGCCGTGTGAGACTGAACTCCCCCTCCCAACACAAGATGTGGTGGCTCTGAGGTGCACTGGTGGGGCTGTGGGAGGAGGGGGGGAAGCTGCACTACCTGTGTTATACCCGCTCCATGGGTAAATAGATAGCTCTGGTCAGCTATCTTCTATGTTATGGGTAAAATTTAAGGTGGTAGTTTGGCCTAGGATCTATCTGAGAGACTGCCTCTCCCTCTATTCCATGCTGGGTTCAGTGGAAGTATTGAGCGGCAGCCCCATTGCTGTAAGAGAGTGAAGGCGGTGGGCAGGATGTTCTCCACAAAGGACCTTCAGCTTTAGAACTCGTTCCATGCCTTTAGTCCCACATAGCTTGAGTCTATTGCCCTCCAGTCCAGGCCAGGCTGTAAGGCCCTTTGCATCCCTTAGTAGTGAGGAAATGGGAAGACTTCAGTAGGAGCTTTTACTACTGGATCATTGCTGGTTGGCCCTCTGCTGATTTGTCGACTGGAGTTGTCTTTTATCAATGTATATTAGAGAAGCAGAGAGGAGAAAAGGTTTGTAGGGCTCTTTTAGAGTGGATTTCTTATATAAATCTCAATAAATACAGAGCACATTTTGCCAGCACTAAAGACACCTAAAAATAATTTCTCAGGTTTGAAAAGATACTTTGTATTGTTTTAAATCCAAGCTCAGGAAAGATGGCTCTGCCTAACGCCCGGCAATCAATTAGCCAGTACTATATTTAGAACGATATTCAATCCCAGCTGTTAAAACCAGGACTTCATTATTAAAATCAGTGAGCCAGACCATTTCTTCCAAGGCTCATTAGGATTTTTTCCCCCAAGTCTTCCCCCCCCCCTCCCCATTTCATTTCTAGAAATCAAAAGGAACAGGATAGTGAGATCTCTGTGTGTTGTGTCCTACTTTTGCTGGGCAGTTGTAGCAGCAGTTTCCATGGCAGGGACAGAGCTCACGATTCAGCAAACACAGAGAGCCCATTGAGCATGGGAGCTGTTATGGGCTCTGGGAAACACATCTGGTTTGTTGAGAATTTCCCGTTTTGAAAAAGGAGCGGGGGGGGGGGGGAAGAAGCGAACATGAGAAATAGCACAGTACTGGTAAGGACAGAGAGTTCTCTTTCAGGAGTCCAAGGCAGCTCAATGCCAGTGGGAGAACCAAAGCTCTAGATTCAGCAGAAGCTGGAAAGGCATATGTTCAAGAATAGTAGGGGTGTGTTAGGAGAAGGTAATAGGGAATGGGGGAGAGGTTTCCTAAGTATGTTATAGTCATTAAAATAAAACTTCTCTTGTTAAATGCTTTATGTTGGCAAATGTCAAAAAACGTGTGCAACAAGTTCCAGACATATTGGTCCGGCTGCGGGGAGACACTCCAATTATCCTTAAAGCAACAGGATCCCCTTTTTCCTGCCCTGGCCTGATCAAGGAAATGTATCGGTGCCTCAGAGTGAATGATTTTATGTGTTTAACCCATCACTGACCCCAAGATAAACCGTCTTGTGCCAGTCAGTGCAAGTCAACTGAATGTACCTCTTCTGTCCTACAGCAGGTATAAGAGGGGGAGGACAAAGGACATTTTTATAATGATAGGTAAAATGGTTTGGATACTGTAGGAACTGACCCCAAACTCATACTCAAAATTTATACTGAACTGAACCAGAGTCTTCTTGATGGTTAAAATGTCTGCTTACCTCTTGCCTTCCCCCCAGCCGCTCTTTTCTTCACCTTTTTGTACATCTGCAGTTTTTTGATCCCAGACAAGAATAAAAGCCAGAGGTCCAAAATACCCCACAGAATGGGAGTTCTCTTAGGCAAGCCATACTACAACAGAAGTGGAGGTTCTGGAACATAAGCCACCCTTCCCTTACTATCAGTGCCAAATGAGGACTTTTGTTCAATTTTTGCCATAATAACCAACCAGCTCTTGTTGTGATTTCTGTGGTGTGTGCAGTGAGGCAAACGCTGCAACTTTGAAAAGCCAAGTCATCCCCATTGTGATGGAATGTTATGTCAGAGCGATGGCACAGCACGGTGACAGGACACTGTATTGTCCTGATCCTCCTCCAGCATCATGCTTGTCTTCTGAAAACCAGGAAGCCTGGTAACCCAATTACTGATATTTTATTCACAGTTCAGCTTGTCCCCTCACATCTCTCTCTCACTGCAAGCTACTGACACCAGCAATGGAAACGAACTGGTCCAAAGGAAATAACTTGTTCGCTTTGGACAGCCAACTGCTTTTAACATACCAGCCAACCAGGACAGCTTTGCCATTACATGCTGTTTATTTTAGGACTTGTTCTCTTTTAAATATTTTGATATCCTTATGAGCTTTTCATACATGTTCTTTCCCATTCAACCAGAAGACGGAGGGATTAATGCCAGCTTCTAGTCATCAGCAAAGAGCTGGCACCTCTTCAGAGGGCTACACTTCCCTTACTAGATTTTTTCAAAGAAGCAAATGCGAGCTGATGACAATAATAACTGAATATCGATACATTTATGGTATTTTTCAACGTGAAGGAGCCCAACGTTTCTTGCAGATGTATATATCTTCCACCGTTACATCAGCAGAATTTAGCTAAGTTTTGCCAGGAGACCAGATCTAACAACCCTATTCTTGAAAAACATGCTGTGGGATCTTTAAGAACCAAGAGAGATTGTGCTTCTGATCTCTCACCCAAAAGACAGAACTCCCAATAACAGTATTTCCTAACACCATGTCACAAAAAACACCATTGCCATTTTTCCCCATTCACACCATCCTCATCAATAAGCTCTAGAGAAGAAAAAGATTCAATGGGCAGAACCTAGGAGGGGATCTGGGTTGTATCTGTTCAGTGAATGGGATAGATAGACCAAAATCACCACCTTTAATCTGAAACTCTTTGAATGTCAGGATGTTGCCTCCTGCCTCACCCTGCCCTCATTAGGGTCCCAGCATCTTAATCAGCTACTTCCATTTTGGCTCCAGAGACAGGTTTCTGTTCTCCAGGAGATACTGACCAAAGACGGCCAAAATCTCTCCAGAGCTGCTTGCAAGGTTCAGACTCTGCCCCAGATTCATCCAGGAACCTGAGGCCTAGCCTAGACTTAAGCCATGCCTGAGTGCTACCACCATGGCCCACCTCTAGGGAGTAGAGGACTTCAGTTCCGAGGGCTGCCATTCTGGTACTTTTCACTGGGAAAAAGATGCATGACATGGGGGAAGGAAAGAAGTAGCTGTGTCTGCTGGTTAGGGGGTTTCCCTCCCTCCTCTTACACAGAGAAATACGGGGTACACAGTTTACCCCTTGCTCTCACTTAACCCACTCATCGGGATCCTAAGGAAGCAGAAGAAATGAGCTTCCTAGCTGTCAGAGTCAGTAGTGAGCCACAGAAGGTGGATCTGAAAGCTGCTGGCTGAAAGGTGCAGGTTCCAGTCAAGCACTTTCAGGAACTTTCCTACCTTGTCCCTAGCCTCGTTCAGAAGGTCGTCTAGCTCCGAGAAGCTGAAACTGGCCACAGTGATGAAGTCACTCATGACAGGCACAAACCTGTCCCCTGCTTCCCGCATGCGTCTCTTCTGGTAGTCCAGTTCCTGGAAGAGAAGAAGTCAGAAGCGTTGAGTGGCAGCCAGCAATGGCTCCTCAGTGAGGAAGAATGGGGTTGGGTAAGTCCAGTTGTTCTGGTTAACACAGAGCACAATCTCTCCTCCAATATACCCATCAGCAGCTACAGTTCAGAGCCACCCCCAACCTCTGCTTTCACCTACTCAAAGGCAGAATCGCCATGAGACGGAGGCAAATCTTACTTGTCGTCTCCTGGATCCTGCAATAGTAACAAAAAAGAGTTCCTTACTATCCATCTAATTTATTGTATTTCTAAGACACCTTTAGTATCTAAGTGCCACATAGCTGAGACACTACGGTTTTCCTTATACTTAGAATGGGAAGTAACTGGAACTCAGATAACACGGTGTGGTAACTACAAGTAAATGCTGGTTTATTTAATAGTGCAGTGGTATTGTGAATCACAGGGAAAGCCTTTCAGGAAGGTGCCCTGTTCTGGAGCTGGGCTGATGGCAGAAAGTATCTTCCAGAGAGCTGCTGAACCACACTGGTTCTACAGCAGCGAGGAAGGGCTGCATTGCCCCCAGTTCACAGGGGCATTTTGAGGCTTGCCAGCATTTGTCCCCAATTAATATTTGCAAAATACTTTGAGATCTTTGTATTAAAGATGTTATAGAAGAGCAAAGCCTTGTTAGTGTTCAGACACGGAGTTGTCTGGCCATGTGGTAGAGTAAATACAGTCTTAGGCGTTTGCGTTGGTCTCATTTTTAAAAGTTTTACAAAACACAACCGAGATGCCAGGATTTGGGCTTTTACTCTGGGATACCGCAGTATTTCTATCATCAGAGGTGAAGGATTTTGTTTAAAAAATCTGCTCAAAAGAATGATCGTCAGGGAAGTTTGCTGACCCACTGGTTAGAGCACTAGCCTAGGACTTGGGAGACCCTCATTTAAGTCCCTGCTCTGCCACAGACTTCCCCCGTGTGACCTTGAGCAAGTCACTTAGCCTCTCCGTGCCTTAGTTCCCCAGCTGTAAAATGAGGATAATAGCACTACCTTGCCTCCCAGGGGCATTGAGAAGATAAATACATTAAAGATCGTGAGGTGGTCAGGCACTACAGTGATGGGGGCCATATATGTTTCTTGGATGGATAGATAAAGGATGTGATCAATCCAGCTATCTCCTGTGTCACCAATAGCAAGAGGAGGGGAACTCAGTGTCAGAAGCAGGGAAGCATTTCCCATATAGCTGGGGTACTGGTTTCACAGTCAGAAGAAAAACTTTTAATTATGGAGTATTTGATCAAAATGTACGTGCTTAGACATGAAAGCTCTCCTTCTGATGGCTGAGCCACCACTTCAGCTGGATGGAAACCAATCCCCAGTCTTCAGCACAAGAGTTTGCATATGCATACCACCTCCCTTGGGCACTTTTTCAGCACCACGGCTGCTTATTGATGGAGGCCCAGAAATGCCAATTGAAGCTTAAAAACGTAATCTCCAATGTATCCTGCATGATAAGCAGTGGCTGGATGTGTGATTTCCAAAAGCTGGACTGAACAATAAAGGGCTGTGTTCCATTTTTAAAATCACACCACAAACCTGGGGAAGCGAAGGGTTATAAGTACCTTTAAGAGCAGCTGACTGCAAAACTATTTTTAGTCTTCTATGCTTATGGGGCCTTGAAGAATCTTCTCAACCAGAGGAGCCAGGATTGTGGTGAGAACACTTTGGAAGTTGATCAAAAGTTGCACGTTCTCCCCCACACCTGACAATGATCTTCTATTGTTGCTTTAGTGTTGCATTTTAAGTGCCAAAAAATGTGAAAGGAGTGAGACTGGAAGGTGCAGGCAGCCCAGACTGAAAGCATCATGCAAGGGGCGGGGGGGTGGGGCAAAGGTGACTTAATGGGAAGGAGATTTTGCCCCAGAAGTCTACATATGAGAAAGCAGAGGAGAAGCGGATGGAAGGACAAGAGGGCAAACAACCCACAAATAGAAAACCAAACAAAGTAGGTGCCTGCATTTCAAGGAGGGAATTGCCTAAATCAGCCATAGGTGGGGCTCCCTTCAAACCACAAATCCCATGTCAGTGTTCCTTTTATGGGTGCTTCTGACCTCCAAACACCCACCCATAGCAGCAGCCTCTGTTACTAGTGCTTCCTCCTGACCCAATAATCCACACTGGGTCTGAAGCTTTTAATCCAGGAGGAACTGATGATGACTCACTGAAGTTAGTAGGATGGCTCTGGGGACCAGTAATAGGACACAGAGCCCTCCTCCTCCTCCTCCCTGATCTCCAGTTCAAATCCAGCCCAAGTGAAAAAGGGGCTAAAAGTCATTACCCTCTGCAGGCTGTTTGATGATGCATAAGAAATAAGAGATGGGTCTCATTCAAGTCCCTACCAGAGAGGTGTCCGAATCACAGACATCACGGTTGCCACCAGTTGGCCCCTTTGTTGGCAATCTCAAGTCAGAGACCAAAAAATGAATTGGCAATGGAGACTGAGCTCTGCTCTCATGACTAGAGAGAGAGGGTCTCTACAGGCTAGGGTGAAGGCACACTGGCAGGGTCATGTGGGGGAAGCTTGCACTTCTATGGCTGGTTATTGCACCGGTTGAGTGGCTCCATTAGGTCTCCAGGATGCCAGTCTGGCACCTTCCACTAGCATTTCATTGATAGATTTTAAAACAAAGCCAAGCTATCCTAAAGATAACAGCACCAAAAGGGTGGGAAGTTAGTGCCAACCAGCCTTACACTGATAACCAGGACTGAAAAGGTCACTGATAGCTAAACAGAGCAAGGGTCTCATTGCATTTCAAACATCTCAAATGCTGTCTTTTACCTCTATTTAATGCCATGATTGCCCTCATGTCCCACAGTCAGCAGAGGACACAGTCAGTGTAGGATTCATGGCTTGCAAATCCAGGGAGAAGGAAGGGGGAATATGCAGCCATGCAGCTGTTAGATGAACTTAGGCAAGGGAGGATATAACAGTAAGACTTGGCACTTACATAGGACTTTACATTTTCAAAGCTCTATGCAAACATTAGCTAGCTAACCCTCCGAACACCCTGTGGCAGGTAAGAGTTATAATCCTCATTTCACAGATGGGAGGTAGAGAAGTTAAGTGACTCGTTGAAGGCCACACAGAAAGTCAGTGGCAGAGCCAAGATTAAAAAAAACAGGAATTCCTGGCTCCAAGCCCTAAACTCAGTCCAACGGACCACACCGCCTCCCACTACACCATGCTGCCTCAGGATGACAGAGGGTATGTCTACACTGCAATAGGGAGGTGTGACTGCAGACATACCAGAGCTAGCTTTGATGAAAGAAACTGGGTTCTATAGAAATTACTCTACAAACCTACAGAAATGAATAGAGAATGGGATCCTTTACACAGGTTTTCTAAACCAGTCTACAGAATTCTACAAGTTGAAATGAAAGGGATGGCCTTTCTCTCTGGTTTCTCCATAAGGAATTTGAAGAGGCTCATGTTAAATCACATTGATTTCCTTGCAAAATGACCCTTGTTGATGGAGAGTTATTTGCAACTATGTAATCTGGGTTTGCTGTTGAATTATTCCTTTATTTCTTTTTGCTGTATACTCTATCAAACCTCCAAATCCCAAGCTCCTTATCCTTCCCACCCCCTTCCTTAATAAATATGCCACCTCAATGAATACCACTTGTTAGTTGCCTCCTGAATTCTACTCATTCTGCAAACGCCCTCATGGTGGGTAGGTATTGTTTATTTATTTATTTATTTTGAGATTTCTAGGTGGAGGACCCATGTGCTGACATGAAAAGCTGAACCCAGGGATCATTTATACCAATGCCTCAGCTTTAGCGCCTATGATGTAATACCTTGGGTCGGAGGGCTGTTTCATCCAAATACACCACCATGCATTCATCTGTTTTGCAAGAGTGCTCTGCAAAAGTTAACCAACAGCTGAGGAAACAAAGGCAGCAGAAGTCCAGCTCTGGGGACTTTCAGCAGCAGTGGGAAGAAATGCCATTGCATGTTGTCTTACAGCTTCTTTGTGTAATGTTTCATCCTGGGTCCCCTTTATCTAGTCCATGTCTTTCTTCTCTCAGCCAGGCAGCTGCTTGTGTTGCTGGCAAATGGGGCAGGTTATAATTGCCTAACGTGTAGTGTATTCCCCACCTGTTTACTCCTGCCCCAGGGGGGCATGTGAGACACCTGCTAAGCAACCAGTGATTCCTCCGCACAAAGCAAAGAGAGGTTTATTTCATTTTTTGGTGTCTACGCCATTTGTCAAACTGTGTCTCGCTCTGCGGACCAAGATCAAACGAGCCTTTTGTTAAGGCCGAAGTCTGCTAGGATCATCAGCACAAGCTTAGCAGGACCAGCTTTTATTTATTTTTCCCGGCGAACACATTGTGCTTAATGAGAAAAGAAAAGCCCCCTTCTTCTCTCGTAGAAAATATAGTGTCCCAGATCCCAAGTGGAACATTTTTAGTGTGGAGATTTGGAAATCTTGACATACTTACAACCTCAACGGCTTTCAATCCAGTCTTTATGTTGTTAACTTCCTTCTCCAGCTCCATCAGGCTGCAAGGGAGACATAGAGACGCAGCAGTTAAAACAAAAAGGGCAGTGTTACACAGGAATACAGGAACTGCTGTAGCAGAACAGACCACTGGTCCATCAAGTCTGGGATCCTGCCTCTGGCACCAGCCATGCCAGATGCTGGGGACTGGGGGAAAGGCTCTGTGCTGCCTTTTGTATGTGATGTAAAACCCAGGTCCTAACTGCTTGTGGTCAGATTAAAGATCCCATGGTATTTATGGAGAGGAGAAAAAGGTTTAAACTCAGAACATCTGTCACAGGATGCAAGATACCGGCCCGTGAACTCAACCCAGCACTCTAGCATGGAGTACTAGCCACAGGGCTGGTTTGTAATAATTGCCTGATTCACAGGCAGAGAACTCAGCTTCAGCACACACATCACAATGGTCTCAAATCAGTTTCACACCCATTTTCTCCCCCACTTAACTACAGAATCCCATTAGGGACAAACTTATTACTAACCTATCCTTTTATCATGCACTATCTAAATACTGTTGTTGACTATTTCATCACATAGGAGCCCATATGAGCTAACATCGTAGGTTAGCACAATCCTACCCTAAAGATCACTAACAGACAAACTCCTAAACTGTAGTGTTGTACTGGATATCTCCTTAGCATACAAAAGTCAGAGTACTTTTCATTACCACTAGGAGATGAAGTCTGTCACCTCTAAATCACTGGCTAGAAATTGGTTGCAGGTTACTAGTGAGTGAAAAATTGTTTCTCAAACTCTCAACCAATTCCTTAGTGAAGAAGTGTCCACATTTGAAAAAACAGTACTGGTGCTAATTTATGTCTATGTGAGAGCTTGGAGCACAGAACTTCTCTCTTTATAACCTGCGTTCATTTTTCCCTAGCTTTTCACAGGCTGTAGAAGTACCAGACCAAGCCAGCTCTTCATACGGGAACAATAGCTGGGCAAATACTGCACACAGGTATTCTGGGACAGTGCTTTGGAAAAACTCCAAAATAGTTTTGAAGGTAGTTGAAACCTTTTTATTCGCTTTCCACAAATATCCACAGGAACTTTGTTTATAACAAAAACTTTAGTGAAAAGTGAAAGTGTCCTAAACCCTTGTGCAAAAGTGTGTCTGTACAAAGGTTTGCATGACCACCTTGAAAATGGCTTAAACAGCCCAGGACTTATTTGCTGGGTTTTGTTTTTTTGTTTTTTTAAACAACCTCCAAATATCCAGCATGGAACATTATATAATGTAGGTTACCAATCACACAGCACAAGTAATGAATTACAAACAGTCTAGTTGTGGTGACTAGTTCAGGAGTATCAAGCAGGACATGTTTGCATAAAACTCTCAATGATTTCACAAATGACTAGGCTGATCCTCACCTGGGGTAAGTCAGCATGGCTGTCAATGGAACCAAGGCAATTAACAGCAGCTGAGGAGCTAGTCCTTACTTGGGAATACAGCAGCAGAGCAAATCTATAAGCAACTAAATGCCTGATTGAAAGCCCACTGAAGTCAATGGAAATTTTTCCTTTAACTTCAACGGACTTTGAATCAAGATGCAAGTCTGACAGTAGCATTGGACTTACTTGACTTTTGCTGCTTCCGGAAGATGCTGCAGCTCAGACTGCATGTCTAGGATATCTGTGTAGTTCTTCTCAAAGATCATAATTAAGTAGTGCAACAGTGTAATATTCCTAAAATAAAAAGGACACAGATGAGAAAGGAAAGATGGTGGGGGTAATGCCAGCCATTGCAAAGGGTTTGGTGATGGAATCTGGTACGTCAAATGAGGTGAACATCACATAATGAATCAGCAACTCTGTTAATGAAATGAAAATATCACCAATTAAAAGAGACTATTCTCCCAAGAATCATTCCTTCCAAGAACTAAAGGGAGCTGGGACTTAGGGATGCCATTCCAGATATGGACACTCAGGCTCATCCAGGCCAAAGGAAAAAACTATTTAGGCAGTAGCTACATAGGGGATGAGTAACCTCAGAATGTGTATACAGGAAGCACATAGCAGTAGTTAAAATAAAGTTCAGGTTTATTGGTTTAATGTCTTTAAGATAGGGATTAATTCCAAGTGACTTCTTATGGCAGTTACTCATTCTGTGACAGCCTGAAGCCATTCCCCCTGAAACTGTTGTCTCATTAGATCCCGGCAAAGGGGTGGGGGAGGAGGGGTACCGGCGTGGGAGACATCCAAGAAGAACCTAAAGTGCTGCAGGGTATTACTGATTCAGTAGGTGGCACTCTTTCCTTTGAGTCAGTACAGAATCTATGCTCTGGAATCAGGGCCAGCTCTGGCTTTTTTGCCGCCCCAAGACAAAAAAAAAAAAACCTGCGAGGCGGCCGGAGTGGCGAAGCAAAAAAAACAAAAACAAAAAACTGTGCAGGGCAGCTGGAGCCAGGGTGCAGGGGGACTCCCTGTGCTGCAGACGTGCCCTGGGCAGTGGAGTGCGCGAACCCGGCTAGCGGGGAAGGGAGCGGGGGGGAAAGACAGGGAAGCCACCCCTTAGCACTGCGTTTTGGATGAGAAGTAAAAATTATGGCCCTGGCTTCTTGTGGCTGCTAAAGATTCCATGTCTCTTTTTGCAAAAGAAAGGATATTAAATACAGGTAGCGTTGCTGTATGCAGTTAAACAGCTGACGAGTTCCACCCAAGATGTGACTGAATTGCAGTGCTGTATTAATTGCTTCTAAAGCACTTCAGGTTCCTGCAGAGTGAAAGCATCATTGAAATGTAAAGGTAAGACATCATTTGAAATTCTCTACAGTATGTCACCATAGGAAGCAAGATGCAACATGGTAGCTTTCATTTGCTTGGGGACTTTCAAGCCTACCTGTCTATGCTGGATTTAGTGTCTGCAATTTTGTTCAGGCTGGAGACTTTGAAGCCATACGCACTTCCCCTTTGGCCCTTGTTCATGTAATTGCCAAAAGCCAGGACAACCTCCAAGAGCTGCTTCAAGCGCTTGCTGCGGGTGAGCTCTTTGGAGGCCAGAAGAATGGCTTGAAAAGAAGTAAAAGATGACCCAAGGTTACATCACAGCAGCTTTTCTGAAGGCATTTATCCTCTGATTCTAAGCATTCCAAAGCACAGCCCCAGGGATCCCCAGTCTCAAAGCGTCCAATCCTGGGGCCGATCACGGCCTCAACCAGGGCAATGTCATTTGAAAATGCTGAATGGAACATGCTCACGTGCTCACTGTAATATCCAAGGAGGGGTCCTAGGAGCAGTTTAAATACCTGAATGAATCCTATCTTACCCTCCTCAAAAAGGGCACATTTACAGAAGAGCACTAGGGACTATGTTTCAGAGTAGCAGCCGTGTTAGTCTGTATCCGCAAAAAGAAGAACAGGAGGACTTGTGGCACCTTAGAGACTAACAAATTTATTAGAGCATAAGCTTTCGTGGACTACAGCCCACTTCTTCGGATGCATAGCCCGAAGAAGTGGGCTGTAGTC